CAAACACTGGGAAGCTATTCCTGTGTAATCACAAGGCCTGTGAGTGCACTCTTGTTTTTAAACTGTGTGGTTAGTATTAGGTTTTATCAGTGTCACTGCAGTGTTTCTCAGCAAGAGAATCAGGGAGGATTGCGACAGTGTGTCCTCTCCCCCCCACAATATGTTCTTCTGCCCCACAGTCTGGCCTCTCCATAAATACCACATAGGCAGGGGCTAATTGAGCATGCACAACCTAAAGTCCATCTAGTATGCAAATATGATAATGAGTCAATCACCTTCTACCCACTAAGAAGGGGCAGCCCAGAGCCCATTGAGCTCCCCGACAGCTGCGGGCTGCACTGCAGGACCTCCTCTTGAGCAGGGGATGTCTCTCAAGGTTCCTCCTCCAGGCTGAGAGATTCCTTACCCACAACAGATCCTCAATACATGACTAAGAGTGTGCTGACACTTTGCAAAACTTCATGAAATTTTTCTAAATTCTATCTCTGATTGATTGTGCAGCTAATCCTTTAGACAGAAACCATATGACCAAGTTTGAGACTTAAGACTGAATCCAGTCACACAGATTCCTCAGAGAAGCAGGGAAAGCAAGAGGGTCCATTGTGAACTTCATGATTCTATGGGAGGGTCTTCTTTGCAAACTTTGCTAAGTAATTCTTTAGACATAAACTGTTGTCCAAGAATGGGACTAAGATTGGATTCCTTCTGAACTTCATGACTCAGCGGGATGGCCTCCTTGACTCTTTCATCTGTCCCTGTCTTCCACACAGTAAATGAGTGAGCCCTGCCATTGACCCTTGCTAAATCATTGTTTTATTTATGATTGAGCTCTGTTAAATCATTGTCTTACCTCAGTAAAATATATCATTGCTTCTCTCTTATAAGTGAAGTGCATCATTCCTCACTCATCCGTGACAATAACAACCTTGGAAGAGACCATTATGGTTCCTGCTGCTCTGCATTTTCTGCTGAAGGTCCCAAGTGCTCTATCCCTGCGGGCTTCCCTGAGAAGATCTCTCCACCGTTCTAGCCAGGGCTATCCAGTTTGCAACTCTCAGAGCTCTAAGAATTATGAAGCCATAAGACAACAGTATAGATCAGAGGTGCCAGAGTATTTCAACTTTGCCAGTGATGTGCTAGACAGATGGACTGAAATGGAAAAGGTAATAAATATTTGTCTTCTATAGTGCTAACATACTTCATGCTGGGTATATCAGGAGCAATCTAATAAGCAAGACACCAGAGTTGTTATGATCTGCTTATGCGAGCTGAGCTTGGTGTTATCATGTGCTACATGCCTGCTCTGTTCATGTGTCAAATTGTTAATTCTTTCTTTATTCAGTAATTCCAGTGAGCCTGTAAATAAATATGTGTATAGTGAGTGAGTCCATGGACTAGACCACTCTAAATCTGACACCAGTTCACCCATCAGTCTTGAGTTGCACTTGCTGCCCACGCTGGGCAATCACGTGGCTTCCCTGTATCTCACTGTACCTGGAAAATGAATACTATGGTGCAATGTGAGACCTCACCCTTCTAACCCAAAAATGAAGTCTTTACATGAGGGCTTTGAACATATGAATCTGGAAGACTGTGACCCCCCCCACAAAATAGACATGAGGTGTATGCAAAGAAAGGGAATATAGAAAAACCATGAAGTCTTTTACCCTTGTTACTATGTAAATGTGGTCCCTATAGATGAGTGCCTGGTTTTGCAGATTTCTCATGATGAGGAGGTAAACTCATTTATGTCCAAATTGCCATCAGGAAGAAATCAGGGATAAAATCCCTCTGACACAAGGTAAATTCATTTGCCCCCTATCAGAACACATTGTACACAAGCATTTTAATGCACACATGCTCACGTTTAGGTGAGCCACTCATCGAGGTCACATTGTGTGGGCCTATGGTCTTAAATCTTTCTTTTAATTTTAGAAGCACCAGTTAGACCAAGTTCCCAATGAAGCTGGAAATGAGCTGTGAGGAAACTGAGCCGCAACTCAGAGGGACCTGCATTCATCAGCTGCTTCACTGGCTCAGTCTGAACCAGAAGGATTTTTCTTTCTCAGAGCTGTTTTCTGTACAGCCTCTTCAGGGTCTAATGCAATGAGCTCAGGAAGGGAATGTAGATTTATATTTCTAAAATTGAACTTATGGGCTATTCTTTCTGAAAGAGAATTTTTTTTTAACCTTATTTTGAATCAGAGGCAAATTCCACTTGCATCCCCAGGTTTATTCACCATTCAATAAATGATGAATGTGTTTCTCTTCAGGTTTAAGCCAAAGGTGACATGTTTTTTAAATGAAGTATTTGCACTCTACCTCGTTGTCCTATAGGAGGGAAAAAGGCCTAAAAACCCTGCGTTGTGGTGGGTAAATGGTGATGGAGAAGAAGTGAGGTGGAGCTTTGAAGAGCTCGGAGTCCTGTCCAGGAAAGTGGCTAACATATTGTCGGATGCCTGTGGCCTGCAACGGGGAGACAGAGTTATCCTGATTCTGCCCAGGGTCCCGGAGTGGTGGCTGGTGAACGTGGCTTGCATGCGAACAGGTTAGTAAAAGCCTAGAAGTGATTTACAGATAAGATACTGTCACATAAATCAATCATTGCTATTTAATATACTCAAAACTAGAAACATGCTAATGGGGATGAACATCGCTGACATGCAGGTCAAGGATGACTTTCATGGCAAGTTTTGCCTTTGTGGTACTTTTAGGGTTTTTTTGAGCATGCTCTAGGTGTTCAGAAAATTCTGGGAATCTGTGTGCCTCTGTCATTCCCCTCCTTCCAGCACTAATGCACCCTCTTACTACCTTGCAATGAAATTAGCACATACTTGCCCAAGTATTCCACCTGTTCCCCTGTGGGCTATGTTAAATACTTGACTTCTCAGTATATACAGCCCAGGATGTCTCCGTGCCTCTCCAACTTGCAGCATATCCTGTGAGGACAGGTACGTCTGTATTAGTGAAGAAGAGAAATCCAGAGAAATGGCATGTCCAGGAGAAATGCTTTTGGCCCAGGGAACGTCCTTCTGTTGATTTCTTTTGCTGTTCCATGTTAAGCCTAATATTTTTCTAACTTGCATTGATACTCACATAGATTTTTAATCCAGGAAAAAACAAAGAAAAGTATATTCACACATATACTGCCAAATCCTTCTTTTAACACAGACCTGTCCCACTAATAAGCACATGGTAAGCTTATTTGTAAGAAGGTAAGAAGGCCATTTATAGGTACAAGGATTGTTCTTAAATATTGAGAGTATTCCCCTTTAGGAACTGTCCTGATTCCTGGCACGCAGCAGCTGACAGCAAAGGACATTCTCCATCGACTACAGAAATCAAAGGCAAAGTGTATCATCACTGATGATTCTGTGGCACCAGGTGTAGATTCAGTTGGGCCTGAATGCCAGTCTCTGAAATTCAAGCTGCTCGTGTCAAAGGGCCACAGAGAAGGATGGCTGAACCTTAAAGAGCTCCTGAAGTGAGTAACCACTACTGTGAAAGTGCCGCAGAAAGAATGAGAAACAAGCACAATGATTCATTGTGAACAGAAAATGTTGGCATGTGTTGAAATATTTTCATTCTTTTAGGACTGTACAATGGGAAAATATCAATATTTATGACACTTTTGATTGCTGCAGAAATTATTTTAGTTAAACATTTTCAATAATTTATAATTGACCTTTTCAAATCACTTTTTATTCATCATTTTGCATATTTTAAAGACATGCTTCTTCTGATCATCGCTGCCTGCCCACAAAGCACCAAGAACCAATGGCCATCTATTTTACCAGTGGAACTACAGGGTCTCCAAAAATGACTGAACACTCCCACAGCAGCTATGGCATTGGCCTCACATTCAGTGGAAGGTATGAATATTATTTTAAATCACAGATGTATTTCTGTAGCAAGTCAAATGGCAAAAAGAAGGAAAACAGAAGATTTTACCAGAAGCTCTTTGTTTCACTATTACCAAAAAAAAAAAAAAAAAAATTCTGTTAAATCTCACCAAGCCTTTTCCTGTGCAACAAGGCAGAGTTTAAGGTTAATACGTTATATCACTTGACCGTCAAACAGTGTTGTTAACTGATTTTTAACATTTTCTTTGACTTTTTCTAAATCTTTCATAGTGTCTAGTTAACGGATTGCCCATTTATTGGATATCAGCAAAGAACAGATTTATGAAATGTATACCATAAAAAGGGAAAAAAAACCCACATAGTTCTTATGCTTCTGAATTCATGTACACTTCATGCACACTGAATTCATGCAACATGGGTTCATGGGATCTTTAAGGTTGTAAAACTATGATGTTTAGAAAATTAGTGCAGCAATGCATGTCATTTGAGTTGTCAGAGTAACAAATCAGATGAGACCAAACTAAGTAAACAAACAAAAAAAGCTTTGTTCTTAAAGAAATTACTTAAATAAACCTCCAGCAATCAAATAAACCTCAGCATCCTGTTTTGAGGTGGTATTAGCTTGTCCATCAGTATAATAGAAAAATGCAGCATCAGTCTCTCTTGGTGACATCTTCACTGCACTGTGACT